CCTAGCTAGATGCCTTAAGATAAAGGTTGATTAATTAATATCTTGTTCTTTAGTTTCACAGTTTTTTTAGGGTAGAAAATGTTTAGGAACTTGTTTCATACCTGTTCATGTTTGAAAGTTTGATCTGATAAACTAGACATAGAACCAATCTTTTGCTAGCTAGGTAGCTTTCCTCAGGGTATGCCTTTCATATTAACTATCACAATTTTTTAGACCGTATATTTCTTAAGTGTCTGGTGCATAAGCAATGCTATAGTATATAGATGTAGCTTGCTTATAATTTGAGGATTTGGTACTTGCATTAATTTATATCGGTGTTTTTTGCTTTTGAGCACTGTTTCCATACATATTGGTTGGACTATGGGTTTGTTTGGTGTTTAAGTTAAATTGGATTTGATAACTCACCATATTGAAGTTGTGTTAAATGAAGAAATGAAGAATTTTGTCCAAGTTCAAGGTAAAAGGTGGATTACTCATGAAAAAAACTTACCCCTTTCAATCTCCTCAGAATAATAGGGTTAAAAGAGATAATATTTTCTTCGCGTCTAATCCCTTCCTTTTTTTTTGGTCAAACATCTAATCCCCTTAAAATGAAAAATTATTTACCCCTCTCTACCTTCAACATACTTCAATTTTATGAGTTGTCCAATCCAATCTAATCTAATCTCAGTGACAAAAAAGAGAATGTCTAACATGGGGTATTAATGCATGAGAGTCTTTTCTGGTAGCTAAAAGTGTTATTAATTTATCATTTTAGTCGAATCATCCTCATATTTCAGTGGTCCCTAGATATATAGATTCATTTATTAACACTGTTAGTGCATACAATGCAGTGTTAAAGGAACAATTGAGAGGTACAAGAAGGCAAGTGCAGATTCTTCAAATACTGGATCAGTTTCTGAAGCTAGTACTCAGGTACACTTACCCTGATTGTAGATATTATTTGGCAGAAAAGTTCATAATTTTGGAGTTTGATTCTAAAAGTTTGATTCAGTTCTTTCTGGGATTTCATTGTCATTTTTATTTGACATCATCTAGGGGACCATGAAATACTCAGGCATTGACTTCAAGACTAGTTATGTAGGTCTTGAACAAAGCCAATCCATGACCAAGACAAGTCTTTTTTTCCTTTTTGGATGTCTTAATCAAACTTTAGGCTATATTATTTAATCAATCAATATTTCCAATACAAATCCTGGAACTTGGGTGAGCATTCAGGATCCATTTTAAATTCTCTGTTCATTCACATTGCAACCAAAGATGCCGGTAAAGCGAAAGCTTTTTCACAAGAATATGCTTTGGTAATGGTAGTTAACGTGTTATCTTGATTAATATAATTGCCTTAAAAGAGTGGTTTCACACTCTCATATTTGATACAAAGATATCAAGTTCTCAGGGAACTAACAGTTAATGAAATTGTGTAAGGTTTATTTTTTCTACCTTGTAATTCATGATAGGTATATGGAGCCGTAATTATAATAATTATGTGGCTGTGTGCGTGTGTGTGTGTATTACACACATATATATATACTAATGAAACTTTTCTTATATTTACACATTATGTATGTATTAACGTATAAAGCCCTAATTAAGAAGCAAACATGTGAAGGTGACCTGTGATGTCTTAAAGCATGCATCCTGTTAAAGCAGTGTTTCTATGAATTTTTATCACTGGTTTAATGTTCAGATGTTTTAACCTATTGCTTTATTGATGTAAATCTCAGTACTACCAGCAAGAAGCTGCGAAATTGCGTGCGCAGATAGTGAAATTGCAGAATGACAACCGGTAATATTCTTAAAGACATCTAACCCTAGCTATACCATAAGCTTGGCAGCCTTTTCCTTGACAATATATGAATGTTGTTTCCAGGAATATGATGGGTGATGCATTGAGTAGTATGTCTGTCAAGGACCTGAAGAGCCTGGAGAATAAACTGGAGAAAGCAATTAGCAGAATCCGATCCAAAAAGGTATCTAATGAAGCTATATATTGATCGTTTTTTATGATTTTCGCGATCTGAACTGTCTGTTGTGATCATATTTCTAGCTTTTGCATAGCCATTGACACGTTTTTCTTTTCTTTCTTTCAAATCTTGAACTCTTTTCAGAATGAGCTCTTGTTTGCCGAAATTGAGTACATGCAGAAAAGGGTACACCACTTCAACTCAGTTAGCTCATTTTACAAAATTACTTTTTCTTATGATATATATACACGAAACCTTTATGGGAAGGGATCCCCATTTTGTTATAAAAATGGGAATTAGTTGTAGAGTCAACACCACATCGAATTTTAACGATCTGAACCATCTATTTTTTCAAGTTACACCTCATAGATCATCCTTGCAAAATATTAGCCAAATCCGAAATGTTTAAGACATCTAATTGAGTTCAACGAAATTAACGAATACTTTATTATATAAGAAACAATGAAATTTTATCTTGATAATTAAATAGGCAAATGGTTTCAGATTGAATTGAATTTTTGTAAGAATGATCCATGAATTGAGACTTACAAAGTAGATAGTTCGGATCGTTAAAGTTCGATGTGGAGTGGGCTCCACACCTAATCTCCATTTTTTTTAAAATGAGAATTCCTTTGCATAAAGGGCCTATATATACGCGTTTTATTTCTGAACATATTGTAAATGTGGTTCATCTGCATTTGGAAAGCTGTAGACCGGCATCAAACTGTCTTAATCAACTTAATCAGTACACGCAGGGTAGAAAACATGATAATCTGCAATTCATTGTTATAAATCATCATTCTTTTGATGAATTGAAAACTAATATTTTTCAAGATTACTGGTGAAAATTTGATTTATACTTCAAAATTTTTGTTAGGTTATTCTTTCGATTTTTAAGAGACGCCTCTCACCATTCTTATAGCTTCTATGTTGACTAACTGTGAGTTCTTAGTCTTAGATGTTAGTAACAAGCATTAATAATAGGTGACGATTTTCACTCCCATATATGTTATATATCTACCTTGGACTCCTCTCTCTTATTTTTGTGCTTTGGTAATTTAGTAAACAAAAGCGAAATTAGAAAAACAAAGGGAGTGCGAATGGTGAATTATCGCAACAAGTTGTACGTTCGTACTTTTGAAATCATCATATAACTAATATGAGTGTTCTACTCATCAAACTGATATTTTTTTGGTTTCATTATTGTCAAAATTTTCCTTGCAGGAACTGGACTTGCACAACAATAACCAGCTCCTACGAGCAAAGGCGAGTTCTCTCTCCTTCTCTTTAAAAAATTTGTGTGTTTTTATGTGCTCGTGCGCATATTGTCTTTGTGTTTATGTGAGTATGCAGTGCGTATTTAGCTAGAACTCATGGGGAATTATGAATTGGATATATAGATAGCTGAGAATGAGAGGGGCCAGCAGAACATAAATGTGATGGCTGGAGGAGGAAGCTATGAGATCCTGCAGTCTCAGCCATACGACTCTCGGGACTATTTCCAAGTGAACGTGTTACAACCCAATCATCACCACAATCCCCGCCACGATCAGATTTCCCTTCAATTAGTGTAAGTTCATGATAATCCCAAATTATCAAACACATTATCACAAATTATTATTCACATTGTTTTGATCATCGTTTATTCGTGCGCAGTTAATATATATGCTTGGTCTGTATTGCTTCTGCTGATTTAGTTTACTGTGGTGGGCGTGTATAATAACACCAGATGAATGATCAAGATTGCTTTGGGAATGAAGACCGTTGGTACCAAGTACGTAGGCATACGTACGTATTTTAGTATATGAAAGCGGATTTCTCATCTGTATTTTTATATTTATGCCTGCAGCAATATGTACTACTAAGATTTCTGTGAGAAATTACCCTAACAAGTTCCTCCAACTTACATGTGATCGAATCTTTCATAATGTTGGTTTGAACATTTATTATATATGTCTGATATATAAATATATCCAAGGCTACCTGGTTTATTTATTAATATATATGCTTGATTGTGTGATTTAGTCATGATCATAGGCTGAGTTTAACTAGGTGACTGATATATACATCGGATCAGTGTCCGACCGGTCAGAGAAATTGTATGTTCTTCTTGCAGAATCTATATTAGAGGACCTAAATGTACGAGCTAGGTATTTTAATTTATCTGAGCCGCCCATCGTTTTGGACTTTCTTTTCCCAACATTTTCACGAAAATGCTTCTTTCATCTTCTTGCTCAGGAATAAGCACTTACATAAACACTTTCAGCAGAATTGTTTATGAGTAGAAGTGCTTTCATACAGAAGCAGTCCCACACGGGCCCTAATCAATTAGAAAAATTATCACTACTTACTAACCATGATTTGGCTGGAATATTGTTCAACAAGTAACTGCAGTATATTGTTCAAGGGTACATATGAGACTGGTGTTAAAAAACAGAGGCCGGAAGTAACTGTTAATGTAATCACTGCTACCCTGAAACCAAAGCGTACTCTTCGTAGACTTTGCTCATTTACAAGATACAATCTTATTAAACATTATAGTGTTCTCAACATGTTTGAGAAGTTTTTTTATAAAATTTTCAATTGGCAAGCAATTTAGTTGATTCTTGTGGCTGATATTGAGGACCAAGAGGTGTGGTTTTAGAATTACTCTACTTCCTCATGCACAAATATTTTCGAAACCAAGGAAAACGAGATTAAGAGATGCCATGCGCTGATGCGCAAATGCAAAGGCATACGGAAGTTAGGGAACGTACTCTTCTTAGACTTTGCTTAAGGCTGGTATGAAATCGTTAATTTATGTAGTTCTTTTAGAAACACGAGTAACAGGTCCATCAGCCTATATCTTATACTTACATCAATCTCTCCCGCGGAAATGGGTACAAAATACATAGAATGCTTAATTCAACCTTATCATGCTATCAATGGAAGAGGGAGATTTGAACTTGAAACTTCTTTCAACATTGGAAAGAAAAATACATGCCGCCAAGTGAAGAACTAGTTCATAGAAGCATTTAATCGATGAAAGAAAAAGATTCGTAGAATTGAATTGGAGTCACGTTTGGACTAATATATTAGGAGCTTAATTTCATGCCAAATTGGCAAAAAATACATAATTATATTTACAATTATAGTATACTCTTCCTAGTTCGATCTTGTAAATGTCACGTAATGATTAGTTTATTAATCTTGATGTACAGGGGGAAGACTAATTTCAATGTAAAATCTAAATTCTTTGGCTACCCATGGTTATAGCCTAAGCTGAATTAGGTGACTAAGATTCATTGGATAAGTGTCCGACGAATTAGAAGAATTGTATGTCTTTCTTGCAGTGATGAGATTAGAAGCTTCAGTAGGATGGAATAAATCCCAGAACATATACTCGCTTCTATTCTGGCATGGAGCTTTGGAAGGAAGACATTGGCCAGATTCATCTACCGGACAACAGTTTGCTTTAGTCACCTTGAATCCTGAAATATGAAAACAAAACAAATTAATATAACACTTTAACTTGTTCTATTTATGAAAATACGGCTAAGCTAGGATTTTAATTTGCATATATGAGCTCGTCACGAAGGACTTCTTTCTCACATTATGCATATTATATGACCGACATCACATATAACGGTCATATGCGAAGCAAAACAAAAACATTGTAATAAAATAAATGGGCTTTTTAATTTTAATCCTTCAAGAAGATTGAAATTTAAAATAAACCTGGTGTTAGATTGCATGTTGATTATAATCCCTTGATGTGTCCTTAATTCAAAATAATTAATGTGCATTTTATTTAATGTCTCCCATTAAATATTTAAATTTATTAACATACAAATTTTAATTTATTTTTTTACCAAAAAAGAGTTTTTAATTTATTAATTTTATTTAACATTCTTTAAACTTGAAAGACTCAATTAATGTACCTAAATGTTAGTACCGAAATGTATTATATTGAACTAATGTATTTAAATGTTAGTATCGAAATGTATGTACCGAAATATATGCACTGAAATGTATTATATTAAATTAATGTACCTAAATGTGTGTACCGAAATGTATGCACCGAAATTTTGGTACAGAAATATATTATATTGAATTATTGTACATAAATGTTGTATGTACCGAAATGTGTGTACCTAAATGTATGCACCGAAATGTATTATAATAAATTTAATGTACCTAAATGAAGAAGATAAAGTACATCAAAATATATTGTATAACAAAAATTAGTTTATCTAAATGTTTGCGATAAATGAAATGAAAATGAAAATTATAATGAAATAAATTAAGGGAACTTTAATGAAAAGCTCCCGGTATTGTTCACTTTAACGAAAAATCACATTTTTACACTAAAAACTCAATCCTGATACTATTCACTTTACCCTTTATTTTGTCCTTATCGTTAAAACTCAAAGTTTTCAAGCTTTTTTTAATTAATTTTCCTTAAAATTAATACATTAAAAATTGGGAAGAAAAAGAGAGATAATTAAAAAATCAAAATATAATTAATAAATGAGGTTATTAATGTATCAAGGGACTAAAATTAGATTTTGATCTTACTCCTGGTTTTAATGTAAAAGTCATCTTTGCCAAAGATTAAAATGAAGTTTTCTATAAAATAAACCATAGCACAAACAGAGTTTAAAAACCTGCAGCTGTAAGATCTGATGGACTTCCGGAAATTCCAAACATGTCAACATAGATGAATTTTGCATCGGTCAGTTTGGCGTTGAGCTGATCAACGAGTGACTTAAGCTTTTGGTTAAAAAACTGAACTGCATTGTTCAAATTTTCTGCGCATGTAGACCCATTTGTAGTCGAAATTGAAGATGGAGTGCATCCTACTAGTCCTCCATTCAAGACCACCTTCCTTGCTCCATACTTGTACAGAGTCTTAAGTAAGTCAATATATAAAACAAGTCAGTATTCAAACTTTTTTTTTATGCAGTTGCTTCGAGTCTCAGAGACAAGGAAAATTAATTATTTAAACACAAGTGCGTTATGTTAACTAGTTACTAGCCTTTATTTGCTGAAAATATTGTTCAATAAGAACTGAAGCATATTGTTCAAGGGTGTATTGCTTACTGGTGGGATAAAACTTGGGCTGGAAGTAATTCATAAGATAATCGTTGCTGCCCATTCCAACTGAATATAAGCACTTTTGTAAATGCTGCCTGGACAATTGTTTAAGACCCATTATTGAAGTAATGCGCTTGACTGTGGATTTGTGATTCAGTAATTGCTTATTTAAATTGACATTCTCACCCTACAAGGAGAAATTATGTGTTATGATATAATTAATAAATGCATATGCAAAATATGGGCAATATATACTTTGAATTCACATATGTAAATAAGTCATGTTTGTTATTGCAAATAGTTAATTAATTACCATATGGGAGCCAGTTTCATCTCGAAGTCCTGCTGAGGCAGATGCATAATTCAGACCTCTAACAATGTTCTTGTACCCCCTAGTATTGGCAAAGCATGGGATGGGATTCTCAAAACCCAGAAGTTCAGCTGTAATGTAAAGATTGATATTCAAATTATAGCCTTATGTTCTACATGTCTTGCAAGCATACTTATTATAGATTATTTTGTATATATATACACACATATATATGCAGTATATTCAACAGAATAACTAAAGAACAATGCCTGGGCATGGCCTATAGGATTCTATCCATTAAGGTCATAGGAATATTTATTGTACATATGATCTTTTTTCCTTTATGGATAACAAATAAACAGAGGTATGCAGAAAAGAAGGGGCATGTGTATAAATCATATTCCTAAACTAAACCTGATCAAATGCGTGCAATCATCTATAAAAGACACTTCACATAAATTTGGATTTCCATCAAAATTCCATTTACATAGAACGTCTGAGTTCACAACTTATTGGCTCCATTCTTGACAATTAAAGAAGCAAATGCACCATACAAGTATATGACAAAATAAATTAGACATAAAAAAAGCTATATAGTGTGATATATATTTAGAAAGCATAAATGAAATTTAGAAAGAGAGAGGCAATGAGCAGACCTAAAATATCAACAATGGTTCGGCCATTGGTAAACCTCCCTGTTGGTCCCTGGGGAAAATCAATCCCGTAAGGCTTGTAGTTCCCTCTAGACGGGGTCTGGAGGCGGTTATTATTGCCATTATCTGCCAATGAATCACCAAAAATGAAGAAACAGGGCACCTTTGGTTCTCCACAAACGCAAGATTGTAATAGTGAAATCACCAAAACAACATTAATCATCATCAACGTCCATGTTGCTGTCATTTGTTCCCATTGTGAAAGAAAAAGCTAGAATTCAAAAATCTTATAACTCGGAAAAGACAGGTAAAACAAAGGTTGGGGGGGGGGGGGGGGGGGTGGGTGTGGTATTATCAGATAATATGAAAAGTTGGTTTTTATTTTTATTTTTTAACTTTGAATGTCTTGTTTTTTGGATTAAACACTTTGAGTGTCTTTGTTTGAATGAAAGCCTTTGGAATGTTCGTGGGGGTAAGCATGTTATGCTCTTGATCATACAGATTAAATCCAAAAAGAATTTATACTAATTAAAGACAATTAAACTCGGGACCTTATTGGGGGTTATTATCTTCAGTCATAATAGTTAAAAATTTGGGAAAGAAGTAGCCGTCAATGCTATGATTTCTGCCCTATTTTTATATGAGCACTTGAAAGAGTAGTGCAGATAATGAAGAATTGCATTCTTTTCGCAAAATATAAATGAAAAGCACTTGATTGTCTGAGACTCCTGTCTCTTGCCTCAATGTATGCTCAATTATTCTCTCCCATAGCTTCATGGTATGACTCGTTAGCTTAATACCCCTATAATTCATACAATTTTATGCATCACCCTTATTCTTATAGATAGGCACCAAAGTGTTTCTTTGCCACTCATTTGGCATCTTCTTCGTTTTCAAAATCTTATTGAAAAGGTTTGTAAGTCATGCTATACATGTCTCTCCCAAGACATTCCACACTTCAATCGGTATACCATCTGGGCCACTACTTTTATGTGCTTCATCTTTTTGAAAAAGACTTGTTTTTCTCTTTTTAGATTCTGCCATATGGCCCTTAGACACTTCATGGTCTTATTCTTTCTTCTATCTCTTTTGATGTGTACATCCATCACTAACAAGGGATGTTGGGTAGCCAAGCTCTCTCCCGGTATCACTTTGCAATCCTTACAAGTTATACGATCCCATTTCCTCATTAAAAAGAAATTGGTTTGTGTTTTTGATGGACCACTATTGTAGGTGATCACATGCTCTTCTCTCTTCTTAAAGAAAGTGTTGGCTAAAAAAAGATCGTATGCCATTGCAAAACCCAAGATGCCCTCCCCATCCTCATTTTTCTCCCCAAAACCATGGCCACCATGAAAACCTCTGTAATTGCTTGCCTCCTTGCCCACATGTCCATTTAAATCTCCTCCTATGAATAACTTCTTTGTCTGAGAGATTCCTCGAACCAATTCTCTAAGGTCTTCCAAAATTTCTCCTTCAAACTCATATCTAATCCAACTTGAGGTGCATACGTAGTAACCACATTGATGAGTTATTGTCCTATCACAAACTTGATTGCTATAATTATATCCCCAACCTTCTTAACATCTACAACATCTTGTGTTAGGGTCTTGTCCACGACGATGCCAACATCATTTCTTGTTCTATTTGTGCCTGAATACCAAAGTTTAAAACTTGAATTTTCGAGATCCCTTGTCTTAAGACCTACCCACTTAGTTTCTTGGAGGCACATAATACGTATCATTTTCCTCACCGTAACTTCCACTACTTCCATAGATTTTTCCGTTAAGGTTGCTATATTCCACGTTCCCAAACGCATTCTACTCTCTTGAACCCTACCCTCCTGTCCTAGCTTCTTTGTCCTTCCCTGAACTATTTTTTCAGAAGAATGAGTCCTTGGATTATAAAAATCTACCAATTACATCCCTAATATTATATTTGAAGCTATTATGTTCAAATTTCCGTCAATTTAAGTCACATTTGCATGTGATATAGGGTAGATTGATAATTTTTTATAAAGAAATAGTGTATGGAGTTAACTTTGGAAGGTAACTTAGATGTTAAATTCGCAACCTATATAAAATGTTAAGGGCTTACAGGCGAGAAAATGATGGTATTACACTCTAAGTTGATGACAAATTGAATAAAATAGCTTTGAAATAATAATAGGGATGAAATTAGCAATTTTTAAGGAATTTAGGGACTTATTTTACCGAAAAAATAATTTAGAGACCTAATTTTCACTGAGGTGATAGTTTATGGACTAAATCGGCACTTTACCTATATATATATATATAGAGAGAGAGAGAGAGAGAGAGAGAGAGAGAGAGAGAGAGAGAGAGAGAGAGAGAGAGAGAGAGAGAGAGAGAGAGAGAGAGAGAGAGAGAGAGAGAAGATATGCAAGACCTAGTATGTCCACAGCACAGTGGTGCGGCCATTGCAAAATCTTCCAGATGGTTCAACGGGAAAATCAATCCCGTAGGGCTTGTAGTTAACTATAGCAGATGTCGGGAGGAGGTTATTATTGCCATTGTCGGCCAATGAATCGCCAAAAATGAAGAAACAAGATACTTGTGGCTCTCCATAAACAGGAGGAGATTGTGATAACATTGAAACCACCAAAACAACAATATTCGTTACGAAATATATTGCTGCTTCTTTTGCCGTTGTGAAAGAAAGTAGTAGTAGTAGTATTAGGATACAGTGAATATATATATTACCAGAACAAATTACGATGTGAAGAAAATGGAAAAGGGGGGAGAATATATATATATATATATATATATATATATATATATATATATATATATATATATATATATATATATATATATATATATATAGAGGGGCTTGGAGATGTTACATGCGTGTTAGCCAAAGGGAGTATTAGAGGACCCAATCTACTTAGGGGGCGTTTGTTGCACCGGACTATCTCGGACTGGACTAGCTGCAGGACTAACCTGGACTGGCTTAGACTAGACTAAGCTGGACTAACTTAGTGAAACGTTTGGTACAGTGTCGGACTAAGAAGTAGGATAATAAAATTCTTTTTCTTTTTTATTTCTTTTTTTTTTCATTTTCTGAAACTCTCTATCTGTTTTTCTTTTTCTTTTCTTTTGTCTTATTATATTTATTTTCTAGAACTCTCTTCTGTTCTCCGTCTATTTTTCTTTTTCGTTTTTTTTCTTCTCTTTTCTTTTCATTTCTAGAACTCCATTCCCTTCCCCCTTCCGTTTCTTCACCTGTATTCCCCAAGTTAGTCACAGTGCACAGATAATTGATAATTACAAAATGGAAACATGCCTCACCTTCAATTCTCAATTCCTAATTTTTCCCCAAATTTTCCCAATTCCAAAAAAAACCCCAACGCTGCTCCTTCCAATTCCGTCGGCGGCAATGGTGAGTTTTCTCGTCCGACAACCTCTCTCTCTCTTTCCTTTGTTTTCTCATCTAAATCCATCCGGCCAAATCCTTCTCTCCCCCAATTCCATTGGCGGCCATGGCGAGTTTTCCCGTTTGGGTGGTTCTGGTTCTAAGATTTTTAGGGGTTCTGGGTCGTAATCGGATTCTGGGTAGTTCTGCACTCCTTTGCGATGCAAGCTTGTGGTGGTGGCTCGAGGGATTCTGGGAAGACAAGGGGCAGTGACTTTGTCCTAGCTAATACCAAGGTTTCAGTCGGGACTAGCTAGCGAAGCTTAGCGAAGTATGGAGTCGAGGCGAGTCCGACTTAACGTCATTTAAGTTAGTCCCTTGCTACGCCAAACACAGGACTACACGGACTGTTAGTCCAGTCCTGTCCAGTGAATGCTAACGATGTCAAACAAACGACCCCTTATAGTCCAAAATCAAGATCGATAAGTTTTCCAATTAAGGGTTAATTAGCCTCCACGTTTAAGGCCTCACTACCAAGGAAATTCAAAAGTGAAATAGTTAATACGTTGGACTTGAGGTTAATGAAGGACTAATCACATATTTTCTTATTTGGAAATGATAAGAAATGGTATTAATATTATTTTGATTAGGAGGAATATCATTTGCATTAATTCTCTCCTCAATTTCTATTTTACAAATTCACTACTTATTTCATTCTAAATATGTAAACGTGTAATTGATTGACTTATTTCAAACAAAGTGCTACGTACTATGCCCACTCCATACTCTCATTTTTCCCGCCTCATGTGATATTTTCACTCATCATAAAAAGTTTAAAAACCAAACATTTTCTTCTCACCCGTCATATTTTAAAATATCCCTAACAGATTTAAGTTACAAATAAAATAAATATAAAGAATGATTGAATCTGGAAGATTTTAGGAAAATGGAATAGTCAAGAACGTCCTCGCCCAACCCAGCTGAAAGCAACCACAACTAGACACCAGACATGGTTAGTAAGTGGGCGGAGAATTAAGACTATGGGGTGGGTACATATCAACACTCTTTCAAAAATCCATACATCCTTTTAAACTGGCTAATAAGCTATTACCCAAGGACCTTTTAATATCTCTCAGGATAAAAGTCCAAGTACAAAAAGAGAATATTGTTGGAACCTAACACATCCAATGAGAATGAAGAATAAGGCGAGACAAATTACACATAAAGGCTTGGTTGTTGAATTTCAATCGTTGTCTAACTCTCTTTTCGCGTGACACGGGTGGAAAAAAAAAATTCCTCAAAGTAAAGTTGTCGAGCAAATGGTGCTTTATTGTAGTGGCAAAAAACAATCATATCTAGGCACCTTAGTATTGGCTCTATCCCTGCTTCAGTCCACCTCCCCATAACAAATAACAATTTAATCCAGTAATGCTATCATTTGTCTAAAAAAACAAAAATAAAGTCATCGAACTACAAATTTAAGGCTTGTATAGTTGGTCCTTTTTTTCACATAAAGTGATAGCAATTTATTAAATTCGACCATTTGTTACACCCTATTCGACCATTTGTTACACCCTATCTATGAGAACGTCCATTTCTACTCACATAAGAAGACATCGAGTAAGCCGCTCCGTTGCATTGAGTCATTGATGAGGAGCATGAAAAAACTCTACTTGACTCCAATTATTTAGCCATATGCAGAATATAGAAAGTAATGCCATAAGCGGTTGTATCTATTTCAAATTCTCCTCTCGACATTCTCACAAGATTGGAAGAGATCTTCCTAAATCCCTCTTCGACGCCGCTCGCCCCACACCTCCCAGCGATGACTTGGATGACTGCCGCTAAGCTCGACACTTAGAGGAGTCCTCCTCCGAGGAATCTTCCTAAACTCCGTGAAGGGTATGCGTCTTTCTAAAATATTGAGGTTTAATTGTGGAAAGCTACCACTTAGTACTACGGTCTAGTAGTATTCCTCTTCATTTATATGTGAGAGGTCTTAAGTTCGAATCTCGCTAAAGACAAATTTGAATCACATTATTGCTATGCTAGCCCATCCCTTCTTCAACACACCTCCTCACGTCAAACCAATCTACTATATGATTGAAGAGCCAAATACATTTGGTTTAATACATTAAGAGCTATCATGCCATATCAATCGTAAACTGAACCCTGCCATATATGTGGTTATCCTATGTAATGTATCATGTAACATTTTGTTGATCACTTTCCTTGTGAATTTTATTTTCTTGGCTTCTAATATAATCCATTATCATAGGCTAAGCTGAACTAGGTGACTGATATCCATCGGGTAAGTGTCCGATGGGTCGAATTCTGAGTAAGTTCTTGCTGCAGTGATGACATTCAAGGCCTCTGTAGGATGAAATCCGTCCCAGAACACGTACTCACTCCTATTCTGGCATGGAGTTTGCCCTTCAGCACATAGACCAAAACTATTTATTGGGCAGCAACCAACATTCACAACCTTGAATCCTGAAATTAGATGAACAAAATAGATTAATGTCACTTATTAATCATATAAAAAGATGTTAATTAGTCCCCAAAATTATAAACTTGTACCAGCAGCTGCAGGGTCTCCTGAGCCCATTCCAAAGCTGTTGACATAGATGAATTTTGCATCGGTCAAATCGGTGTTGAGCTGATCGACCAGAGATACAAGATTTTGGTTAAACATTTGGGCAGCACTGTTCAGTTTATCAACACACGCGGACCCATTTGTACCAAACGCTGAAATTGCACTTGGAGTGCATCCAATTAAGCCAATTCCAATCAATGCTACCTTCCTTGCTCCACTCTCGTACAAACTCTTAAAAACAGTATGAAACATATTAACAATCATTTTTTTAATCAAATTTATGGGAAATGTTATTTAAACCTCTAGTCTGTCATTCTGCACATTATAAGAAAATTTAAACGTCAAGGGGCTAGCTAGAATGCAAAATGACAAACTGAGAATCAATAACAGGGTTAGAAGTCACAAAAGATATGGACAAGTAAACAATTACAAACCATGATTTGGCGAGAATATTGTTGAACGAGAACAGTGGCATATTGCTCGGGGGTGTATAGGCGACTGGTGGGATAAAGTTCAGGCAAGAAGTAGTTATTAATGTAGTCATTGCTACCCATTCCGACTGAATATAAGCATTTATTCAAGTACTGCCCAGCTGATCGTTTACTTCTCAGAATAGAAGCAATGCGCGAGGCTGTGAATTTGTGATTCAGTAGCTGCTGATCTAAGCTGATAACATCTCCCTGCAAATGCGAGGAAAGGTTCACTTTAATCAATACTAATTAAATTTTGCATATGGACAATATTACAATATAAGTCATACTTATTGTGATTAATTAGTAAATTTACCTGTTGGTATGAAGTTTCTGCTCGAATTCCTCCTCCGCCTGATGCATAATTCAAACCTTTTAATATTTCTGGGCCTCTGGCAGTTGCATATGGTGGGATGGGATTCTCAAAACCCAAAAGTTGAGCTGAAATTAGGGTAAACTTTTTCTAATCAGCTTCATTAATTTTTTTGTGCATGCCTTGCAAGTTGCAACCCATACATCTAATAGATGGGTTAACATATATGGATACCTTATATATAAACACACAAATGGATAGAGAACATAAAAAAGAAAAATTAAAACACACGCACAAGAATTTTCATCTTCTGCATGGCCCTAATTAATCAAGTTGGTAGCTAGCCAATTAGATTGTGTTTACTAAATTAAGGATCAATACACGTAAACATAAGGGAGGGGGGCGGAGAGTGTTTGAATCCAGGATTGAAGAGGAAAACCCTGTTTACCAGGTATCAACCTAATTGGATTGAATTTACTAAATCAAGGATCAACCTACAACTCAGGCTTTACTAATTATGTAGTCGCTAGCTAGGATGTATAGGGAGGGCTATGATATGAACAAACAACAACTATATAGCGGGCAAGTAAAAGAAATTTAAAGGAATAGGAAACCTTTAGACCTAATATGTCAACTGTGGTGCGGCCATTGCAAAACCTTCCTGTTGGTCCGGCGGGATAGTCAATCCCGTAGGGATGGTAATTCACTTTGGCAGAGGTCCGGCGGTTGTTATTGTTACCATTGTCGGCCAATGAATCCCCAAAAATGAAAAAACAAGGTACTTGTGGTGCTCCATAAACAAGAGAAGACTGTGACAGTAAAATCACCATAACCACAATCATCGTGAACCATATATTCGCCTCATTTGCCATTATTTTAGAAGATAATAGGACAGAGAGAGAGAGAGAGAGGAAGTAGGATATGAAGAAATCGAAGGGAGGAGGGAATATTTATAGAGACAAATCGAGGTTTCGAAATGTTACTTTGAATCTATATTAAAAAGAGGTTTCATGGTTTTGGGCAATGTTGCTTTGTACATACAAAATTAACACATTTGTTGACACTCTTCAATATAGGTGGATTCTACATACAATATAGTAGTGTGCACCTCTATTAGAGTGTCTCAACAAATGTGTCACCTTGTGTGTACAAATAATATTATTGCAGCAAGTGGTTTGTAGATTAGTTAATTAAGAGCGTTTATTCTTGCACTTGAGCTTAATGTTGATTATCCTATCATTTGTTAAAAAAAATATTATTGCATTTTTATTGTATTATTATTTTGACAAGAAAACTAATACGCAATTTTTTTCGAGGAAAACGGTAGTTTTATTAATAATCAACCGTTACAATCGTCTAATAAAACATCACGAATAAGGTTTGGAAGTTCCACAAACCAGAAGAAAAATAACGTTCTCGATCAATGAACATATGACGCAACTTAGTATTACGGTCTAGTGATATTCTTCTTCACTTGTAAATGAAAGGTCTTAGGTTCGATTATAGCCAAAGAAGAATTTGAACCACATTATTACTAGCACATTGTGAGGCTTAGCCGACTCTCTCACTCCTTTAGTGTTGATTATATTGTTTGTTGAAGAAAAAAAAATGAACAGATGGCGTGGGCAAGGCAATGGGAGAGAGTTGGGGTAACCATTATAAAATAGGTTCAAATCCTCAATTGCCGGGAATCCGATCATAAAAAGATTTCATTCCCAATTGAATTAATATTATTCTTCCCCGTGGATATGTTTATTAGAGTTGACTCAAGATTGGGCAAAGAATATTGAAGCTAGCAGCTGGTACAAGTAAGCTTCAATCATGGCATAAAACTGAAAGAAGGAATGATGATGTATGCATACAAATTGTTATTGCCAGTCTGTTTCAAGCATGACATATTTTATGCAAGTTTAATAAAAGCACGTGGAAGTTTAAGTACTTTTTCTTTAATTTTTTACCTGAAGATGCTCATACGTTGATCTTTTATTTTATTTTCTAGAATTTAAATACAATATTATATTGATGAAAAAATTACAATAATCATGCCGTATAAAATTTGCAACTGACTCAGACAGCCAAAAATGAAGGGATAATTAGATGTTGACCATCGACTTGTTTGAGATATCAGTTTTGTCACCCATCAAAAGAATATGCTGGAGGTCAACTGACCATTGCATAACTGGCAAAGTGCCGTTCACGGTTCATCAATTAATTTTATTTATGTTAAACCCCAGCTTCCGGAGACAATCCAGAGCAAAAGCCGTCTTAGGGGGAGGAGGAAGGAGGAATTTGAAGCACTTCTGCTTTTCCTTCTTCCCTCTGCTCCACTCGGCTCCTTCTTTTCATTTTTCTAATCCGTTGTATTGAATAATAGCCCATTTTATGGTGACTAAATCTTCCTCTTAGTATGAGTTCTCCATCACTAATTTTTTGTCATTTTTCAATCAAATCCTTTTACCAAAATCCTCCCTCTAAGGTTTATTGGACGTAGTAGATGAGCTAAATTTTTGTGATGTTGGTCTTCTAGATTATACTACAGCTTTTTTCCGTGTTATATTTTTTTCTTTTGGCTTTTGTCTTTTGTTCACACCTCATGTTGGTGCGGTTTTTCCTAATGCAACAGGTAGTTAGTGATTTTGTATGCATATTAGCTATTGTAGCGGTCATTATTTATTTTTCAGTTTTGCTGTTTCTCTTTGAAGTTGGGACTGCTTGTATGCAAAGAGTTCCCTTAAGGGTTTTGTTGGCAATCTTGTGCACAATGTCTCCCATTCGGCAGATCATGAAGTGATTGAATTTCTAGTTGCCTGGATTGAAGTTCATTTGATTTTGGAGTTCTATTTGTGTTCTTGTGCTTCTTAGTCACACTCAAAAATCCGCCAATATGGTGGTTATTAGATTTGCCAAGTTGGCCTTGTTTATTGTTTTGGATACCTTTTTGTTTGAGGATCCTTGGTATTTGATTCAAGATACCCTTTTTGAAGTAGGTACATTTTTTTAAGATGCTAATAAAACTTCAATTAAAGAAATAAATTTTTACGTTGTGACGTTAAAAATATTTTGAATTATTTTTTACTAAATGAATTTTTTTAGCTAGTAGTTTATGTTGGAGTATTGGCAATTCGGAGGAGGACCGGGCGCTTTTGAGCCATATATTAGCGTGTACCAGCTATACAACTTAGTATATTTGACACTAATTTATGGGTAAATTACATTTTACCCCTCAGGTTTGGGGTCGATTTCAATTCCTTACAACATCTTTAAAACATTTCAATTTCATACATTTACTATCATTTTATTTCAATTTCATACATCCGTTAGAAAATCCGTTAAGTGATGACGTGGCAAATATGGGATCCACATTTGTGCTGACGTGGCTACCAAATTTGTGCCACGTGGCAAAAAAATTTTATGCATTAAAAATATTATAATAATTTACCCTTAAAATAAATAATTAAATTAAATTAAATTAATTAAAAAAAATTTATAAAAAAAAAAAAAAAAACTCATCTTCTTCCTCGAGCCATTCCCCTTCCCTGTAACCCAAACACACCATCCCACCCCACCCCCACCTCCCCCACAACCCCTCACCCCACCCCACGCCACCCAAAACCCACCTGTCTCCTACCTCATCACCCCTACCCCATTTCTCCATCCACGTCCTTCATCTCCCTGTAGAGCCGACTTGGTCATTCTCTGCTTACCCTGCAACGCCAGGATCCACGCCGCCACGAGTGAAAACCCCCTCATCCATCCACTATGACATCCACCGGTGTCTCAATTTGAGTGAAAACCCTATAATCCAAAGCGGTGTAATCGTCATTGTCGTTGCTGATGTGGTTGTTGTTGTTGGCGAAATCAAGGGCGGTTGGGATTTTAGGGTGGTGTATGACATCGTTCTGGGGAGGAAGGAGGAACTCAATGGAGTCGGAGAAGGAGATCTTTCCAGTGAGGTAGTTGAGAAGGGGCTTGCAGTTGGGGAAAGTGACGGAGAAGGAGAAGTTGAGGTTTTGGTGGTGAAGGGAGGGGACGAAGGTCGGGGAAGTAAAGAGGGAGAAGAGGGAGAAGGTGGGGATGGGGTGGGGGTTGCGGGGGAGGTAAAGATAGTGGAGGAGAGGGAGGTGGGTCAGGGGAGGGGGGAAGATGGGTTCTGGGTTTGGTTTTTTTTTTTTTAAACTTTTCTTTAATTAATTATTTTTAAATGCATAAAAAATTATTTTTGTTGCCACGTGGCACAAATGTGGCAGCCACATCAGCTCTTAACGGATCAATGGATGAAAAATGTAACGAAGGTATTATATTGAAATAAAATAGTAGGTGAGGTATGAAAGTGAAATTTTTTGAAGATGTTGTATGAGGTTGCAATAGACCTCAAACTTGAGGTGGTAAAGTGTAATTTACCCCTAATTTATTTACACACATCATTCTTTTTTGGGTAAATTACACAAAACTACCTTAACTATGGGTCGCATTACAATTTCATACCTCATGTTTTAAACACTGCAATGTCATACCTTAATTTATGAATTTGTTGCAATGTCATGCCTATGTTAATTAGTGACACACCCCGTCCCGAAGGAGGGCATGCTGGCCGTCACGTGAGAGTGACGTAACCATTTGCACAGTACGGAAGCTTTAAAGATACAATTTATAATTTGATACACCCGAAGGTGAGTCCTAATTTTGTCCAATCTGTCAGAACACCGTCGAATTCCTCGTAGTCACCACACCTTTGTGATTCCTGAACCTGGAGGGGCGCAAAACCAAAATTGAGTGGGTCAGTAAAACAATTCTTTTCCAAATCCAAACATTTCTCAAAACGTTGTAACCCCTCTCCGTAAAACCTGTATACTTTCCCAGAAATGTAAAATATAAATATACATATATATTCTCAAACTTCATTTTTTACTATCTCAACATTTTTCTTTATCAATCATGCCATGCCATGTCTAATTCAACAGTTAAGTATGGATGCATCAACAATAATCATATCAGGTGCAAGAAAGTAATCAACCGGAGGCCCTCTAATAGCCCTGCACGGTTGAACCTAGAGCTCAAAATCTATCACTCTCACACTCTGCCGGAGTCACTCCGCGTGACCTGTCCGGCCTTCTGCACATAAGTTACGCTCTAGTGCTTCTCATAAATCATCTGTGCACATAATCTAAGGTCACCCACCAGTCGGAATCTCACTAACACTCTCGCGACTGGCCTGTCGTACCCACTCCGCGTGGACTGTACGACTAGCATCTACTTGGATCCAAGACGAGCGTGCGATGCGGTGAATACTATAAACACTAAACTATGGTGCAGGATTTGAGCTCAATATACATCAACATCATCATAACAGAAATAAATACTCACATGTGCGTCCACCGCACCATTTCATACATATGCATCATAAATCAATTCTTACCCGTGCGTCCACCGCACCAATTCATGCATATGCATCATAAATCAATTCTTACCTGTGCGTCCACCGCACTAATTCATGCATATGCATCATAAATCAATTCTTACCTGTGCGTCCACCGCACTAATTCATACATATGCATCATATATTAATTCATGCATGGCATTTCAACTCACATTTCTATATACTTTTCATATCAATTCTATGCATGGTATTTCACTTCCCGTTTTTCCACATAACTCATATGCATTTCATTTTAAACATATTTTCATTTCAATTCAATTTCTGGGAAACGTCAAGTATATATATATACAGAAAACAAAACTGCCCACTCACAGAATACATCGACGTCTCGTAAGTCCCTGAGCATCCCTTGGCCATGCCCGATGCCCGCATAAACCTCACCTATACAAGAGTAACCAATTTGACGTTATTTAACGCCTAACCCAAATCTTAGTTAATAACTCCTCATATATTGCTCAAATTGGGTATATGAATATACCACCGTGACCTACACAACCTCAGGATCATCCCCATATTTTTAAAATAATTTTTGGAGTCCTCACGCGCCCCCACGCGCCTGACGTGGCACGGACCTACGCGCCCCCACGCGCGGCCACGTGTCGTGTACACTGACGGCACAGTAAACGGCAGTTAGGGAATATTCCGTTAAATCCTAGCATATTCCATTAATAATTAACGGCGTCAGTCAACGCCGTTAGCATATTCCGTCAAAACTGACGGAATATTCCCTGTCTTCTCCGGCGATTCGCCGGTCGCTGGCGACTGTTCGCCGGTTTCTGGAAAAATTTCAAACTTGCTATTCTCCTTCGTTTTTCATCCATTTTTCACGTAGATTATACCAAATTGAAGCCCTAAACATCTACTAACACGTTGGACTAGTTTTAGGGTCTAAAAAACAACGGGATCAAACTTTCAAAAAATTCAAGAAATCGGCCTACCTTCGAACTAGGTGATCTCGACGTCCAATTCATGCCAACGAAGCACTCCGAGCTTCCTTGGGACTTCCTTAAGCTCACTGTGAGCTTGGTTTCACCTAAAACAAAGTCAATTCGAAGATCATGAACAGTGTTCTTCACGGGAACTTTGAAACTAGGGTTTTCCGAAGCAAAACTTACCTGAAATGGATACCATCGTGATCGTGGAGGTTTCCAGGAGTTTGATGGTGGTCTTAACTCCGTCGTTGGTGGAAGTTTAAGGTGGTTTTGTGGTGGTCCGTGTGAGTTCGAAGGAGAGGGAGAGAGAACTGAGAGTTTCGTGAGGGAGGAGAGAGAGAGACAGTATGCAGAAAATAGGGAGAGGATTGAGGGATGTGGGGATCCCTCGTGGTCCTTTTCCAATCCCCAACTCCAAACCACAAAATTTTAACCTAAAAATCTAAGTTCCATCCTTAATAAATTCCATTTTATTTTCAAAACTTAGGAACCTAGATAATTAACAACTTGAGCTTCTCATACTTAGTATTTCTTAAGGGCAATTTCGTCCATTCACAGCCACGAATGTAATATTTTGGAACGGGCTGTGACAATTAGTCTGTCAAATTGACCGTTAAGTGATGATGTGACAATACTAGGCCATATTTTGCTAATGTGGCAGTCTACTTGTGTCAATGGTCAAACAACTTATAGAAATATTTAACTATTAAAATTATTTTAATTCATTTAAATATTATTTTAAAAATTTCAAAATAAGAAAAATCCAGCACGACACTCACCCCACCTATCTCCTTCCTTCCCCATAACCCAGAACCACCATCCCACCCATTTCTTTCTTGTCATGCCTGAACCCAGAAGCACCATCTCACTCATCTCTCTTCCCTTCCCTCCTGTATTCTCTATCCCTTTCTCCTTTTCACGCTGCAACATCGACCTCGTCGGCTTCGCCATCGTCCACAAGCTCCAATCTCTAGGCTTCACGAACCTCGCCCTCTGCACCCATACTGAGCTTGACCTCACCCGCCAAGTAGACGTCAATTCCTTCTTAGCCGCCGAGAAACCCTAATTCGTGATCCCTACCAACATCATTCACACCAATAACACGGATGCGGCGGATTTCATCGTTGTCAATCTCTAGATCCAAACCAACATCATTGATGGCACCTACCAATTCAGAGTCAAGAAGCTCTTGTTCCTCAACTCTTCCTGCATTTACCCCAAATTCGCTCCTCGGCTCATTCTTGCTTGTTTGCTTAATTGGTTTCTTTTTCTTCCTCTGATGTAAATTACATGGCTTTCTTTGATTTTCTTGGCTGAGCCTTTATGATTCAGAAATTGGGGTTTGATTGCTTTTGCAGAAATGGTGGTTATGGGATGATGTGTGGCGAGAGAGAGAAGTGAGGGGAAGGATGGGTTGGGTGGGGTGAGGGTCGTGAGCTTGAATTTTTCTTATTTTTTAAAAATAATATTTTAAATAAATTAAAATAATTCTAACAATTACATATTTTTATTAGTTGGCACAAGTTGGCTGCCACGTCAACAAAATATGGCCCTACATTTGCCACGTCATCACTTAACGGTCAATTTAATAGATTAATTAACCGAGGTATGACATTGCAACAAATTCATAAATTAAGGTATGACATTGCTATATTTAAAACATGAGATATGAGATTGTGGTGCGACCAATAGTTGAGATAGTTTTGTGCAATTTATCTTTCTTTTTTGTATATCTTTGTTTAGTTCGTTTGTTATTTTAGTTTGATTTTAACAAACAAAAAAAAATTCAAAATTTATTTTCGAACAATTGAAATCACTTGAATTAATTCTAAAAAAAAAACACCTAGCATGCATATATAACACAATTGTTTATAGCAAAAGCACTTATCAGCAGCATTGCATCCTACTGAAGCACCCGTGAACCAGGTTCAGCACAAAAACTTAAGGGTGTACTTCATTATTAAATTGCTTTCTAGTTCTTTCAAATGTTTCTTCATGAATAATTTGAAATTTTTATAAAAAAACTTATTGTACTTGTAATAAAAAAAACATTTCATGCATAAACATTAATGACATTTCGTTACAGAAATATTTATAATGTTTATCATGTTATCATCATATTATTATTGTATTGTTGTTTTGTTATTATTGTGTCGTTTATATATGATTCCTATGTCGTCGTTACTCAAAATATGTTTATTATAGCTTCCCCCAACACCCCCCCTCCCAAAAAAAACTTATAGACACATCATTTAGGTCAGCCCTTAAAACTGGGCCAAGCCGAATTAAATTTGACAAAGTCAAACTCCTTTACGAATTAGGTGGCGATTCATAGGATGGATCAGCCCATAGTTCATGAGTTGGGGTAAAACATAAAATTTTGTTCCAGATCAAACCAAAACAACACATGATACGTTACAATTACAATCTTATCTAGCTAGAGACAAATGTCGTGATTCATTGCTCATGATAAGGATGTTTTTTTTTTTTCATCTGAATGAGATTTTCTAGTTACTCAAGGGTATTCTATATTCCCATTATTAGATCATAAGCTAAAATGACCAAGATCTATACTCCGAATCAGCATAGAATTTTCGCTTATGAATTTTATTCGCAATACTTCTAACTTAGCTAGATCTCGTTGACTTGAGGATTAATTTGCAGCTCAGCTAAGTGACTCATATCCATAGGATATGTGTCTGAAGGTTCAGAAGCTGTGTATGTTCTGCTCGCAGTGATCAAATTGCCGGCCTCAGTAGGATGAAATGAGTCCCAAAACACATATTCACTCCTATTCTGGCATGGAGTTAGATCAGGAATGCACTGACCAACTTCATCTGCTTCACAGCACCCAGCATTCAAAACCTTGAACCCTGAAATATTAAATAATAGATTAATTTTCATCCAAATCATTTTTACAATACTTGTGAAACCAAAGCATATATGGCAGATAAAGAGAGTTTAAGTATCATAATTCGGCTATGGAACAGGCGTAGTGTTGAAATGCTACATTGATAACATATTAATTCACCCTTGATATTATTGTGGATAATAAAACACGGACACTTTATGGATGCCTTCTCGAGGATATAAATCCACATCCTTTCTTCAATAAAGTGTTGGATTTTTGAATCGCCGGGTCCGTCCCACTCTAACGACATCGATACTGTCCTCAACTTTACCACATGCTCAATCCGTCAAGTGTAGAGTTTTACCACAAAAGGCCTCGGTATTAGTTAGAGTAGAATAATTCTATTTAAACCCTTGGTTTCTTTTGCACCCACCGATGTGGGACTTTAACACTCCCCCTCATGTGTAACATCATTTTAGTGGTTCACACGTGGAGATCCACATCAGTAATTGAAACTCAAAGGTCGGCTCCCATTGGGCCCACTTGTTTTCAATGGAATTCAGCGGTCGTTTCTATATTAAGAGTTCAAACTTGTTTCCTTATGGGTGACAAACTCATTGACTTGAGCAGGCCCGAATTGTGGGCTCTGATACCATATTGGATTTTTGGATCACCGGGCCCACCCCACTGTAACGATACCGATACTGTCCCCAACTTTATCACATGTCCAATCCTTCAAGTTTGGAGTTTTACCACAAAAGGCCTCGGTATTAGTTAGAGTAGGGTAAATTTAAACCCCTTGGTTTCTTTTGCACCCACCGATGTGGGACTTTAACATAAAGAATAAACGGCTAACACAAAATTTATCTACCAAATTAAAGAACGGGCGTCGTACACAAAAAAAAAATACATCTGAAATACGTACCAGCTAATGTAAGGTCCCCTGAGCCCATTCCATAACTGTTGATATAGATAAATTGTGAGTCAGTGAGATTGGTATTGAGCTCGTCCACAAGAGAAACAAGTTTTCCGTTGAAAATTTGGGATGCATTGTTCATTATATCCACACATGCAGACCCATTTGTGCCATAGGTCTTAATTGCATCTGGAGTGCAGCCTATTAGTCCCAGTCCAACCAAGGCCACCTTCCTTGCTCCGTACTGGTGCAACCTCTTTAAAAACATAATATTAAACAAAATAATCAATTTGTTTGGGGGGTGTTAAGCAAGTGCAGAATCTAAGACATATTTCTTTTTATATACCAGTCTTTTTCATGTCTAAGTTTTAGTTCACAGCAATTTTTTTACAAAGAAAGGCATTGATAAAAAAAAGGTATTTTTAAATTACTTGTGACCTAATTTCAAATGTTTGTGACCTAATTGAGCTGAAGTAATGTTTGAACTCAAGTAGCCCAAATGAAAGAAAAAGTGAACTACTCTAAAACATATGTTATAAAAAATAAAAAATAAAAAATTCACCAAGGGTATTTAATCTTGTTGCTCTGTAACTCTTTTTGTTGGTTCAAGCAGTCCAATGACATTCTGAAATTAAAATAAAATGTGTTAATTAATTAACTAAGTAATTACCAGTATTTGGCGAGTGTATTGTTTAATAAGAACATCAGCATATTCCTCAAGGGTGTATTTTTGACTGGTGGTATAATACTGAGGCATGAAGTAATTGTTGATGTAGTCATTGCTGCCCATTCCAACTGAATATATGCACTGGTTTAATTGATTTTTGGCTAAGCTTTTCTTTCCAAATATGTCGATAATGCGCGACACCGTAGTTCTGTGATTCTTCAACTGTTCCCCCATGCTAATACGTGCACCCTGCAAGACAAGTTTATCAAACTTTCGATTATACAACAAATTGATGGAATATAAAGACACATGGCAGTAGGATAGTGGTGGCTGCCATGTCAGCAAATATTGTTGGAAAGATTTAGTTAGAATCTGGTGGGATTTGTGAGGAGTTTTTGGATAAGATTAGCTAGGATTTGGCTAAGATAGCTAATGGCTAAAAGCTGAGTTAATTTAAGTGATTAATAGCTCGTTTGGATGTGTTTTTAAAATTAATGAAAGAGTTTTTGGTGAAAAAGTTTTTAAAATTAATCCTTAGTAAAAATGCAAATAAATACTGAAAAAGCACATAAAGTGCTTCCTCGAAGAAGTACATAATTGGTGCTTCTTGCAAAAAGCACTTTTAAGTCCTTTTGGAACCCAAAATATTTTCTCTAAAAGCGCTTTCAGTTATTTTAAAAGCACATCTAAACGAGTCATAAGTATACCAGCTGCTTTCCACTTTCTTTTCTAATTCCTGCTGCACCAGATGCATAGTTCACTCCTTGGAGTATTTCCGTGCCATTAGCAGAAGCAAATGCTGGAATGTAGTTTTCAAATCCCAGAAGTTCAGCTGTAATCAGAAGCTTAAGCTGTCAGAGAATGGACAACCAAGTATATCGAGCTTACACCCTCTCAAGTGCAGATTCATTCTGCATATAGAGAGGCAAACCAACAGAGAGAGAGAGAAAAACACATTAGCCAATGGTGTAGCGCCACGCTATACCGTCTAAAACCAACAAAGAAGTGAGGAACGAGAATCGAATTCAATATCAAAATAAGACTCTGATACCATTTAAACAAAGGAAAACTAATGAAAAGGGCTTGAAAACTTTGAGTTTTAATGATAAGGACAAAATAAAGAGTAAAGTGAATAGTACCAGGATTGACTTTTTAGTGTAAAAATGTGGTTTTTCGTTAAAGTGAACAGTACCGGAGCTTTTCGTTAAAGTTCCCTTTAAACAACTTCTAAACATACAATTTTAAGCTGTAAAAAAAAACAATGTATATAGCTTACAATGTTTGCTGAACACAAAAGGATCCCAAAATATAAACTACAATGTAGAAAAACCACGCTAATTTTTTTTTCGATATTTTGAAACTTTTAGTTCCAAACCATCTTAACTATCCAAAGTAATTTACCATATATAGTTTCTGTGATTGTACGTAAGGAAGCAATTTAAAGAAGAAAATGAAGGTGGAGAAGAGGCGCATACCAAGAAAATCAACGATGTTTCGGCCATTGCAGAACCTTCCTGTTGGGCCAGCCGGGAAGTCAATACCATATGGCTTGTAGTTGACTTTAGCCAATGTGGGAAGCTTGTTGTTGTTGCCAGGATCAGCTACTGAGTCTCCATATGAAAAAACAAGGCACTTGTGGCTTTCCCTGAACGAGTTGCTGCATGTTCGATAGCCAAGATAGAGCAATCACCACAGCCAATAGTTTCGTGCCACCAGCCATATCAAGAACAGAAAATACAAAAAACCAAAATTTAGAATAATATTTTAAATAGAAGAGAATGAGGCAAAAAGTTGAAAGCTAGAGTGGCTATTTAAAGGTAGAAAATGAAACTTATGATGAAACCAAGGCCAAGTTTGGCAAGCACACTTTGGGTGAAAAAAAATATAAAATTATTTGGACGCATTTAACATGTTTATTTACACTCTTTAATAAATGTGAATTCTACAATTACATGTGAACTCTACTTATATTAGAGATCGTGTGTCAATCTTGTATTTTCAAATAAGATCACGCAAAAGAATAAAATCCTTGATATATATGGATATAATTTTCTTCACAAAAGGTCGCCAAGAAAAAGGATGACCAAAGGCACAAGAAAAAGTACGAAATATGACGATAAGGACTACATTAATGAGTAAGACAATACATAAATTTGATGACTTTGAAATATAAAAGATCAATTTGATAAATTAGTAAAAGATAAAACACCATTTGTGATGCAAATGGTCTTTTATCACAGTGGTAGAAAAATGTCGAGTCTTTACATGATTATATAAGTTCAAATCTTATTATTAGCTAATCTAATATCCAATCTAACAAAATATATTATTTAAAAAAAAATCATTTGTGATAAATACTCAAAAGTAAAATAAATAATATTCAAAATCTCCGAGATTTCTGTACCTCCTCATCATGTCGGCATGTAAAAATCAAAGGATGAACAATCTCACGTACGTACACATTAATCTGTACGATTACCCACTACCTAACAAATTAATCCATGGCCTACGCATGGCTGGTAAGTGTAGACCGAATAGTGTGTTCAGAAGCACGGACTGGATATGTCAATATCTCATAGCTCACATGCATTTTATAGCCTTTGGCTGTGGTGGGACGTTTGTTTTTGTTTGCCTCATATTTTCTGTGCTATATATGTTTTTTTTTTTTTGGAAATTTTTTTTGGAAATTTCTGTGCTATATATGTTTTTCTTTTTTCTTACCTGTTTTCTTCTTTCTTTAGACCCCAAAAATGTATGAAGAGCATGTGATACTTTGTTCACTAATGTTACGTCTTAGTTATTTATATGTTGATTTTATTTGTCACTCGTATTATATTAAGTGGAATAGTAATATTATGTGACTGTGCAACAGTGAAACTCCAAAAATTGTACTAAATTTGATCCCTGACTGGCTCAATAGATGCTTAATTGATTTTGATTTAAATGACAAGGAGAACTAAAAATCCATCTCTGCAATCTTCATATGGTAATTGGGTGAAGAAAAGAGACATCAAACATTTGTTGTATTAATGTCTTATCTAAATTTCGTGATAAGGAGCATATCTAACCATGAGTTTAAATTTCCATCTCTATAATAGAAGTTAAAAGAAATAAGAATTATGAAAATAAGAATGATGAGAAATAAGAATTATGAAAATATAAAGAGATTGGCATGGTTCGGCCATTAAACACCTAACCAGTTTCATTTTTTATTTTGCTTATATCCAAAACTACTACATTTCTCTAAATACTTGTAACTCAAATAGTTAATAGTACTAAATCTGTTGGCAGAAATTGTTGTTCAATTCCCCCCACTTCCCAAATATTAGTAAAAAATACCACTTCATTTTATGTTTTGTTAAGTCATCATGCACTCCCATATATCTCATTAATGTTTTAATAGTATAAATCTTGTAACATTTCCTTTCTACATTAGTTTCTAACAATGAAAATTAATAAAAGTGGTATTTGAATGTGTTCACCGTAAATCATTTTAGTTATTCCGTAAAAAAATATGTTAATAGCTTCGTTAAATTGTCATGTTAACAACCATGTGACCACTTTGTTAAGCTATTTTTGTCAAACCAACTTCACTTAACAAGAATATTGATAGATTTTTTACGGAATGACCAAAATAATTTACAATGAACAAACTTAAAGACCACCTATATTAATTTTCATTGTCAGGAATCAAAGTACATGTTTATAGCAATACCAAAGAACCATTTTAGCTAAAAAGCATTTTCATTCATGAGATATTGAGGCAAAGTGTTTAACCAAAAAAATGAAAATTTCCCACTCTTGCAATGTGTTGATTTCGGGATGCCGTGAATTTTGTTCGCGTCCATATATACATGTGTGTGTGTGTATTCCTAACAAAAAGTGGCTCAAATAGTTGGTCCATCGATCATTTCGATACTTTAATCGCCACGAGTACCTCACCTTCCAGTTACAGAGTTACTGTGCATCTGTAATATATATATAAATATGCATGTATATTTATTCAACCAAATATATGTGGTTCTTAGAGAAAAAGAAGAGATGTGATTATATATAGTAATAATCACGTTTGTCACATTGCCTGCAGATCATATATATACGGCCAAATTGCCACAGGACAACAATCTCTAAATGAATCATGCCCTACGACCTATCTTTGGAGGGATACATATCTTACAGCTACCCTACAAATCTTACATATCTTACAGCTACCCTTTTCAGCTACTGCCCATACTTGCAATGCAATGCAAGATCTATGAGTAGTCACAAGTAAAAGGCGGGAAGTTTTGGCTCCTAACCTCCTATTAAGCTAGCAACTCTGGCTGGCGTTTTGGGTGCCTTCATATATATGCTTCTTAGGTGGCTTCATATATATGCTTCTTAGTTTTATTTGCAGTTCGGGCTCAACTCCTCGCTTTACTTTAGCGGACCTACAGGTCGGGTTGGGGTTCTGTGCTCTTTCTTTCTGTGTGGAACGAGAGGAGAGAGGGGGATGAGTCGACTGATGACATTGCCACATGTTCCTGTATTGGCCACACGCTCCAAAACCCTAGCCATATACTGTTGTCCTCACACTCCCTACCATCGACTGTTCCTTTAGGTTGGGTTTAACCTACAATGCTTCATCCTTTTGTATTGCTAGTATTATTCTGTTCCTATGAAATATTCTAGATGCATCGTTTTGTTTTTTCTTATGTTGGATATTGTTATAAATTATAATCACATATTAATTAGCAATTTCGTAAATGTTATGCATGTGAGGCATGCGCAGTTATTAACGAAAACATTGGAAAAAAAAAAATAGGAAAAGGGATTAGTTGGAGAAAAACTTGGGGTTTTATTCAATTTTTGTTTTCAAAAGCTATTGTAATTTGCAACATTAGCCTTATTATATTTCAACTAGTGAAACACAAATATTTCAACTAGTGAAACACAAATATGGTTGAATAGAAGATTTCTCAGAACAAATATAGTCGTGATTTAGTAGTTTGGTTTGAGGAATCCCCGAATGTTATTAGGTAGTTTCTCAACCAAGATTTGTACTCTCGTTGGGTTAGTTATATAAAGCTATCGTTTTCCTTTCAAGATATATACACAGATTAGAGGAAGCATAATGAGGGCATAATGTTGGTGGACATGTATAGAAAGAAAATTTAAATTAAAAGTTGTGGTGTAAATAAAAATAAGAGTGGTGTGCAAATAGAAACCGGAAAAAGAAAAGATAGACATTTTTTTTGGGACAAGGAAAGTACATTCATAACAAGGGCTTCCTTATCCAAAGTTTTTACTCTATGAAAAAAACTTGTAAAGCAAAATGAAGATCACAAGCCAACAAAATTTGTAAAGCAAACATTTAACAAGGTTATTTGATAGAATTTTAGAAATTTAGTTTGAAAAAAAAAAAAAAAAAAAAACACAAAGCAAAATGAAGATCACAGGCCAACAATATCGAGTCATCGAGTCATTGACATGCCACATTAGTAATAAATGCACTAATGCAGCCGACATATATGATGACACCAAATGTGGGGAGATATAATGCTATTCACCTATTTAACATGTCTGTAACTGTAAAGTTTACAAGGAATGTCGGGCACTGGGGAAAACAATTGAAATTGAAACGAGGTCGGCGAGACCACTCATGGAGCTTCTTTTTTTTCTCTAAAGTAAACCAAACAAACTCAATTTCGTATTAATTTAATCCTTTCAGTAGTCCACAAGAAGAAGATCAAAGTTCGATGAACATTTCAAAATTCTAAAAACCAAAGATGATTAACTGCAACATAGAAAACCATGACGTACAAGAAAGCACGACGTATTATATAGCTGCTACTTTTTTTATGATATGATGCAATCATGCAAGCATGATTATATGCCACTGCAGCCATAAATCAATGATTATGTGGATGATGACGACGACGATGATGATTAAAGAAGGGCAAGCCGGCGTATATCGACAGGGTAAGCGTCCGAGGCCTGAACGGCGCTGTATGCTCTCCTTGCTATAACAGCATTGCCAGCCTCAGTTGGATGAAATGCATCCCAAAATAGATACTCATCCCTATTTTGGCATGGAGTTTGGAAAGGAAGACATGTAATTTGGCCATTGTTCCTCCCTACCCCACAGCACCCTGCGTTTGTAACTCTAAATCCTGAAATAAAACACACCAGAAACACACAAAAAAGAAAGAAAAAAATCCTAGTGAGTTTTAATCAATAATTAGGGCAGACTTCATGAACCACTCTAAAAAATTATCTTGAAAATACAAAAGAAATGTTTCGACCTTTTTACCTTGATTTTGCTTCTTTACTAGTCGATTATGTTAAAATTAATTGAAAAGCAATCACGTAACCAAGAGCAAGAATTTTCAGTTTTACCTACTTCATCAGGCAATTGGTGATTGCGTGATTGCTAATTCGTTAATCTTAACCGAATCAACAAACAGAAGAAAATCGGGTTATGTCGCAACAGAAAAAAAAAGGGTTGTATTTTCAAGATGAACAACAGAGGGTTTTTGAAAATTTCCCTTTGTAATTACCATATTGTGCAGGGTTGCTTATTATGTCCTGGAAAATGCCATAAGAGTCTACGAAGATAAATCTTGCATCTGCTAGATTAGTGTTGAATTCATTGGCAAGTGCCTTGAGCTTGCTATTGAAAATTTGGTTTGCAGAGTTTATTTTTTGCACGCATGAGGAACCATCTGGGCTATTTTGTGCCAATTCATTTGGACTGCAACCTATTTGACCAATTCCAAACAACACAACCTTCCTTGCTCCATAATTGTACAAAATCTATACAGCACACATCAATCAACATTAAATAATTACAATCTACTGGTTTTAAAGGAAACCACCTAATTAAACTTCATAATATAGTTACACTCACATATATATGTATGTATGTACATATACATATACATATATATATATATATATACATATATTATATTTATGTTATATGCAAATTACCAAAATCTATACATATTATATATAACGAGTAACACATGACCATAACTTAAGGCGCATTCTCATTTTGTGTTATATTTGTGCTAGCTATTATCATAGTTTATACGAGATAACTTTTAGCTAGCCTGAGATCTATCTAAGGGAGTGTTACGATCTTATAAGAAATGTTCTTTTATCAAATTGTCAGACAACATAATATATTCGATTGTTTGACGGAATAATGCTGCAGCTTCTGTATTAACAATATAATTTCATAACCATAAAATAACATTGGTCTTGATGAACCTAAATGCACAAAAAATGCACGGAAGGGGAAAAAGACTAACCGTCAGCTGTTGACCGTAATCGTGAATGAGCGAATCAGCATATTCCTCCGGGGTAAATTGGTTGCCGGTGGAGTAAAACTGGGGCATAAAATAGTTGTTAAGGTAATCGTTGCTGCCTAATCCAACTGAGTATATGCATTTGCTCAGATAATTTGCAGCTTGGTCCTCATCACCTAGTAAGTTTACCACTTGAGACACTGTGTTTTGGTAATTCTTTACCTGACCACTAAATGTAATCCGATCACCCTACAACAGTAATAAAACATGATTGAATATAATTAAAACACATTAATAATTAGAATAATGTTATAGTGAAAATATGTGTCATGGAAAATTGTAATCACCAATTGGCGTCCAGTTTCTTCTCTAATTCCAGCAGCTGCAGATGCAAAGTTAACTCCTTTCAGTACGTCTTGGCCTCTAGCAGTTGCATAGGGAGGGATGAAATCATCAAAACCCAGAAGCTCAGCTGCATGCAGATAATTTAAGTCATCAGTAACTCCAGTTATGGTGGATTTCACTGTTTTGGTAAGTGGTTTGTGTCTCCCATGTAACATCCATGGTTTTTACTTTTCATGCATTCAGTTATTTCCCCCACTTGAATTATATGATCATGTAACTAAATATATGGGATTTCTGAATTTTTAGAAAGCAACATGTGAAAGCAGACTGGTTGAGAGAAATAAATTCTCCCTTGAATGTCATAAATGATGAAAACAGACTGGTTGAGAGCTACTATTCTTTGTTGCTAGTTTTATTTTCAAACAACTAATAGAAGGCTGCATGTACACAAAATCCAAGACAAACATAGAGAATTCTTGGTCTAAAAAATTTATTACCAACTGCAGGTTTTCACAAATAATTGGCATGAGATTTATGCAGAAATTAAGTGATCATAATCAGCCAAATAGCAGAACATTATGCATGTCAAAAACACATAAAATAGGATTTGAAATTCCAATATTTCAGTTTGAAAATTTTGTTTAGAGAAAAGGTACTATATTCATTTATGCAGAGAGAAAGTACAAGAAGGTAGTGTGCAATCTTGTGGCCGAAACTAAAACCTTGCCGAACCAACATTACGACGTCTTATTATTTTACTTATTTGGATGGATCAACTAGCACTACATCACATTAATGAATAGCCTTTACTTGTGTAGTCTAATAAACAAGAGATTCTCTCATGTAACCAATTTATTGTTTATTGGACGGATAGTATAATTTTTGAACATGTTAAACACAAATATTAGACAGTCACGCCATTAGGACTAAATATTATTGCAAGAAAGAACCTCTCATGAGGATTTTATAGAACAAAGAAATGGGCAAGCATGCATGGCAAATGTAAGTGGAAAATGAGAACGAGAGAGCTGGAGGGAGGGAGAGAGAGAAGCTCACCAACAACATCAACGGTGGTTTTTCCGTTGGAAAATCTTCCGGTTGGTCCACCAAAGTCGACCCCATAAGGCAAGTAGTCAGCTCTGGCCAAGGACTGAAGCTGGTTGTTATTACCATTGTCAACCAAAGAGTCCCCAAAAATGAAGTAGCAAGGCACTTGCGGTTCAGCCCTAGCGCCACTCCACCACAGGCTCACGGCCAAAACCACCACGGAAACCAACCACATTCTCCTCGCCGTTCCCGCGATCATAATATCGACCCCAATTTAGCAATAAAAACTAAAATATAGAGGAGGAAGAATGAGAATAAGGACCTAATGGCTAGAAAGGTGAGAGTGAAACCCTGAAGAAGGAAAGGTGAGTGTGTGAGCCTGTGAGGAACATAAAGCAAGGTTGATGAGGATATATAATAGCAAGGAAGCAATGGCATGCAATGCATAGCTCTTACAGTTGAGAAAGTTGGTTCGAGGCATTAACTACACCCGGATATAATGTGAGAGACTGTATGGCAAAGCCCAGCTCTGACACCTCTCTCTATATTTTTCTCTCTGAATTTCTCTTAATTTCTCTTAATTTTTTGCATCCCAATACCTCTCATCAATACGTGTTGCGTATCCAATGTGCATCTTGGCCTTTGTTGGTATTAATTTCTAAAATTCAACGACACACTTACATTAATCACTGTATTAATTCAATCTGTAACAAATCAGCATTGCATAATGGTAACCTCATGAATAAGTGAATAACATACATATTTGCTTTTTAATTTCCATGCACTAAATTTGTGCAGCTCCTGCGACGACCCTAGCTAAGTTATTGGCTCTAGATTTGTGCAGATCTATTTTTGTCATAGATGAAGTTCGACCCAAGTGTTTTGACAACATGTTTAGTTACTTGGGATGAGTTGGAATTGTTCTAAATCTTTTGTATTGACGTGGGTATTCAATGGCGGAGCTAGACTTGGTATCAAAGAGGAGCATATAGCTTAAATATGTACGAAGAATTATACATATCCGCCTTTGTAAGTTTGTGCAGGCTTCAAATGAGTTTTTGGAATGTGGGGGGTCACATCTACTTCTGGCTTATATGCATATCCGCCTTTATACGTATTGGAACTATTTTGATTATTATATAAGTGTTCAAACACATAATTAGAGTTCTATGCCACAATCCTATAATCTAATACTATAGTAAAAATTAGACTGATTCGGAAGGGATAGATGATCACATCATTCATTCTCTATCTTGTGTGTAATACTACATGTACATGTCTATGCTACACTAGTTTTGGACCTGGTAACCATGCTCTTGTGTTTGGTGATCTACAAAAGTACTATTGCAAAGTCAACTTTTCTCTAGAGCTCTGTGATCCTTGTTAACTATGATCAATCTTATACAGTAAGGAAGAATAAGAATGTAACAAACTTAGAGAGAGAGAGAGAAAGAGAAAGAACTTAGAGAGAAGATAAATATCTCTGATATATTTTCTTAACAACCAAGTAATACAGTGTTGAGGTATTTATAGTCCTACACTTACACAGCTAACTTCCTTAACTAACTTCTTCTCTAATCTAATTACAAGTGGCAACATCTTATACACCAATATCCCTATTCTATCATCCCCCCGCAAACACATGATTCGAAGCTCGAAGCATGAGGTTGGTACAGTGAGTACGAAACAGAGGAGAACTCAACCCTTTAGTCAAAATATCAGCAAACTGCTCTTTAGATGACACAAACTGAACAGAAAGTTGTTTCTTGGCAACGCGTTCACGCACAAAATGAACATCAACCTCTATGTGCTTAGTGCGTTGATGTTGAACCAGATTAAAAGCCAAAGCAATGGTGGACAAATTATCACAAAATAAAACCGGAGGTGATGTAAGAGGAACCTGCAGAAGGACTAACAGTTGCTGAATCCAGTCTAATTCAGCGGAAGTAGAGGACAAGGCTCGATATTCAGCCTCTGTGGATGAGCGAGAAACTGTCAATTGTTTCTTTGATGACCAGGATATAGGATTGTTTCCTAAAAACACAGCCATGCCAGTGGTAGAACGCCTATCATTAGGGTCACCTGCCCAATCAGCATCACTAAAGGCTTTTAATTGGAGTGGTCCTTGTGAATAAAAGAGGCCATGATGAATGGTACCCTTTAAGTACCTCAAAATGCGTTTGACAGCAGTGAAATGAGCAATCATAGGCTGTTGCATGAATTAACATACTTGATGGACAGAAAATGCTATATCCGGCCTTGTAAATGTGAGGTACTGCAATGCACCTACTACACTCCTGTACAACGTTGGATTGTTATAAGGAGCACCATCATCTTTGAGAAGCCGTTTATAGGGCAAACAGGGAGTCTCACATGACTTGGACTCAAGCATCTTAGTTTTAGTAAGAAGATCCAAAATATATTTGGATTGAGACAAACATAAGCCATGTGCAGTGCGAGAGATTTGAATGCCCATAAAGAAATGCAGATCCCCCAAATCCTTGATATCAAATTCCTTGGTTAAAGCACTAATAACCTGTTGCATAGCTGCAGCTGCATTCCCTGTGATAATAATATCGTCCACATAAAGCAGTAAGATGACAATACCAGAGTCAACTGTCTTGACAAATAGGGAGGAGTCAGAATAAGTGTGCTGAAAACCCAAAAGAGGCAAGAACTTGGTAAATCTGTCATTCCAAGCTCGAGGGGCTTGCTTAAGTCCATATAGGGACTTGTGCAACTTGCAAACAAGGTGAGAAGTAGTGACATCAGCAAAACCAGGAGGCTGGGTCATATACACCTCTTCATCCAAAATGCCATGTAAAAAGGCATTCTTGACATCTAGTTGCCTAAGGGGCCAATTAAATTGAGCTGCCAAAGCCAATACTAGGCGAACCGTGGTAGGTTTAACCACAGGACTGAAGGTTTCCCCATAATCAAGACCCGGTTCTTGACTAAACCCTTTAGCAACAAGCCGAGCTTTATGGCGAGCTCTGATACCATGTTAACTATGATCAATCTTATACAGTAAGGAAGAATAAGAATGTAACAGACTTAGAGAGAGAGAGAGAGAAAGAAAGAACTTAGAGAGAAGATGAATATCTCTGATATATTTTCTTAACAACCAAGTAATACAGTGTTGAGGTATTTATAGTCCTACACTTACACAGCTAACTTCCTTAACTAACTTCTTCTCTAATCTAATTAAAAGTGGCAACATCTTATACACCAATATCCCTATTCTATCAATCCTCTCATGCGGTCTCTCTGTCCATTTTGCGTTACTTTGGCTCCTCGCTATTTATGGCGCGTTTACGTAACGATAATGAAAATATGAGAAATTGAATTGAGGAGAAACTGAATTGAGGAGGAGTTGGAATGAGGAGAAATCAAAATCAGATTCCTGTTGAAGTTGTTTACTTAAATGTTCTGGAATTAGAATAGAATTCCATAAAGCTGTTTACTAATTCAGCAGAATCGGAATATAAACTAGTATGATTACTAAAATGCCCTTGTCTCAAATCAAATATTTTATCTACTTTAATGGGTTTATAAAGGATAGTCTTGGAAATAAAAAAAGTAAGTGAGGGCATAAAGGAAACAAAAGTGTCATTCCGATTACCCAAACAATCAGGAATTGGATTACCACCTATATCTAGGGAATCCAATTCCACCAATACAAGGAATTGAATTCCAAAATTTATGTGGGCCCCACTGATTTTTTGATTCCTCCATGTTTAGTAAACACCGGAGTATTCCGTAATCGGAATTCAATTCCACATTCTCATTCCGATTACGGATACGTAAACGCGCCATTAGTGCATTGCAAAACTGATGAAGCAAATTAAAAAAAGAAAAAGAAAAAAGAGAGCTATATTCTGATCTAGAAAAAGGGTCATCGGGAACAGATAAAATCAAGGGCTGAGATTCAAGAATCAAGACATAACATAATTATTGGTCTGTGAAGAATATGCGTAGCAAGAAAAATGCTACGGATACTATATTGGTGTATCATAATGTGGCAAATGTCACATTAATTAATTATTTCATTGAATGTTAGTTGTATGCATCATTTGCCACATAAAACAATATACTAATTGAGTATAATATATGGTCTCTTTGGCATTGTTCGTATAATAATGATATCGGTCTCGAGCATGTTCTACAAAAATTTATACCAAACCTACCCACATGCAATTTAATGTGGAAGGGTGGCAATCTTTAATGTTTTGGGCCAATTTAGTTTCATTGCAATTGCATTGCTGCATTGCATGCCTTGTAAGGATAAACGCCTTTACAACCATCTCCCTCGCATGTTTGACAAGAATAATGGATACACAATTTGGTAAGAAAATATGTCTTTTCTAAAGTTTTCATTGACTTATATGCGTCGGTGGTCTCTATTTCATGTGGAAGGGGAAGACAAAAATACAGTATAGTGAACGCCAACAACAAAAGAAGCAAACCCAGCTACCCAAAACATGGCCAGCAGTATATAACCTAACTTTCTTTGGCCAAAACAGTGAGCGCCTAACTACAAAAGAAACAAAAATAAACCCCAAAGAAATGTGTTAGAGAAGCTAAACATTAGTGAAAAAGGGTTTGACTAAAACACATACATACACTTGAAAATACAATGATTAGGGTCCATTTGAATGACACATTTGTTCCATTTAGTAGTAAATTCAGCCCGTAAAATAGCGTAGCACCACTTCAAAGGTCTTATATAAACCATTTAATTAGTCTAATGCATCATCATATAATTGATCCAGTGCATCGTCTTATTAGTTGTTTTTAGATGTTTGCGTTTAGTATTTGTATTTTAAAAAACTTGACATGTTACACTAGTCAATTTGACAGGGTAGGGTCAACCCTTTTTAAGTTGACTAAGAAGTGAAGGGAAAGCGGCACCTCCATGGAAATCGATCTTTCTCATCTCATCTCATCAATCATCTTGATCCACGGTGGTCCTTGAGCCGAAGAAGTCAAACATTACATTAACGTAAGGCAAAATAATTTATATTGTGTTATCTTCTTCGCCATCTCTCTCACACTCTTTATCGGAGAGGTCTTTTGGCTGGTTTCCTGCTATGGAATTTGAAAGTTTAAAAGGCTTGTATAGCTTTATTTGCCATTGTAAAAGTTAAACACTGCTTGTGTTTATAGGGAAATGCTCCTAGATAGCACTATTTATCGTGACAAATTGAGAGTATGTTGATACTTTATGCGGTTTTTCATATTTATCCTTAAATCTAAATTTTCATATCCAAATCTGACACAATGAATAATCCACGGAAAATAGGTTTAGCAATAAGTCACTAGTTCAAACATTTTTCTCCTTATATTTTTTTCCAAACTGATATTCTAAATTACTCTAATCTATAAAAAGAAACTCTAACATAAGTGTAAAAAGCATACACAATTGCTTTGACTACCTAACATAACCACATCTACTTCTCTTTTAGGCTTGCTTGGTACCTATGATTGAATTGAAATTGATAACCTACTAAAATTAAAAGTAAGTTGAACTTGAAGGGAGATATTATAA